CTGGTTGTCCTATATTCCCTTCTGATTCTTTCAATTATTCTAAATATTTTATTTATAATTAAATATATATGCTGCCCATCTTGCTGTTCAGAGTGAGTGAAAGAGGTTCTACACCACAAAAAAGAATTTCCTAATATATAGCATGCCCCTTGACATTAATATATTGCAGTGAATATGAAGACTAATGCTTGGCAAGTTAGAGATTAGCCCAATTTATAGTAATTATTTTTGGCATTTGATGAAACATGTACATGAATGTGATTATTATCAAAATGTTTACTTGAAAATAAAAAAACAAAGCATAAATTCTAAAATCTGCTTCAAAAATCTCTGGAGACAATTTTGGAAATGAGGAAAGAGAACCAAGAAAAACCAAGAAAAAATCTGTTTGCTTAGGTTACTGGTAGAAGCAGAAAGCTATTATATTAAAATAAAACTTAAAAAAGTTAACTTTAACTAGCATGCTCAATTGTTCTTTTCTAAAGCTGCTGTTAAAATGGTAAAATAAGTATTTAAATTTTTTCTGATCTAAAACTAGTAAATGATTTTCAAAATATAAAAGATGCATTTTACTTTGGGACGTCTCACTATGGTGAGAAATTGATGAATGATTAAAGGAATTGATGGCTTAAAATTTGGGATCCACGAGCAATACAGAATTGATTACACAGCTAGTTCTTTTAAACAAAGAAAAACGTGGTGCTGGTGACTCATCTGGTAAGTAGTAACTATGATTGATAATACAAACTAACTTAAAATAAGTTAATTTACAACATGGCTATATTATCCCTAATATTTTTTGTGTTTCAGGTGATCAGCTGTTTCAAGGTTGGAAACCACCTCCCATATAAGAAAATAGCAGGGTCAAGAAGCCAAGAAACTAAATTGCCACATGACAGTTCAAATTTGTATAAAAAGAACATGGAAACAGATTACATGAAGATAATATGATAAATAGCAACATTAAGCTTGGTAGATTAACAATGTATTATATGCCTTGATCTTATTTCAATAAAAATCTATTTACAAAGAAATGCTCCTACTTTTTTATTGAGTTGGAATAGCTGGATAATAAAGTTCGCTTGTAGTGGTTAAAGGGATGTACCATATAAGTGGACAACACAATATATATTTGACTTATTTTTCAAATTTACATTATCTTTTAAAAACACTGTTCTTGCTCACAGATCATGAAGATAGAATTTACAGCTTTAACTGAGAAATGTTGATCAGAAATAAATTACTTCTGTTAGGCTTCATTATAGCTCTTATTAAGAGCTGTGGTGTTGCCGTGGTTAGAATGCAGAATTGCAGGCTAACTCTGCATTCCACTGCCAGGAGTTTGTTTCTGACCAACTCAAGGTTCACTCATCCTTCCAAGGTCAGTAAAATGAGAACTGTTGGGGGAAATATGCTGGCAAAACCGTAGAGAGGGGTATAAAGCACTATGAAGTGGTATATAAGTATTATTGCTAAGTGCTATTACAGTATATAGCAGAAAGTGTGGAAAGATATCAATTGTGGAAGTTTATTTCTTAAGACTCAATTTTCTCTATTTTAAAAAGTAAAAAAAAATCTCTATTGTATTATTCAGGCTGTATTGGCATATTTGATCTGATTTGTGGTGGCTTATGCTCTGGGTAAGAAATACAGAAATATTTATTTTAAGGCAGTGAGAATTACACTGAGATTGGTGTGCCTAGCTCTCATATAAACAATAAAAACATGGAAATTAAAATTAATTATATTTAGGTAATTATGTAACAATTTCTTCTATTGCATTTGAAATTAAAAGTTTAGCAACTTTTGGAGTGATTCGGAGTATGTCACACTTACTACTTTGGAGAGATATATGCTTCCTTGTAGCTTCAATATATGAACTCTTGCTTTGGGAGAGTTTCCTGTTAGTTTCCTTTCTGTTAATGTACAACATTAGCCTTCAACAAGAATGCTAGACTAAATTACTATGGATAGCCAGTAAATGTTTTTTTGTGAGAGAAAGCTAATAATCATTCTAAAATGGGGGCAGTGAGACAAAAAGGCCACCCATAAAAAAATTTAAATTAATGAAGAAATCTGAAAAGTTTACTGAATTTGAATAAAGGTCTCCATACAGAATAAGGATTCATTCAATGAGCTTAGTGGGCATATAAAATTTAATTACTTAGTCACATGAGCCTGGGACTAAGATTGAAACCACAATTAAGCAGTGCCAAAGACTTGACAGCAAACGGTTACTCTCAGATATACTGGGAGAAATGATAAGTTGAAATGGGCAGTGTATTTAATCACTTTGGCTGATATATGAAGTCAAAGATAGGCTTGAATTTGGCTCGATGTATTTTTTTTTAATTATTTGGGTGGAAGGAAGTTACAACAGACTACTTATAAATTATAAAAAAAATAATAAAATTTACAAGGATAGCTAACTGGTAGCTGTCAAGATGTGGGACTACAACTTCATCTTTGATATTGGCCATGGTGGCTGAAGCTGATGTTATAGTATGAATGACTATATATTTTTGTACTCTGGTTTAATAAAATAATCATAAATAAATTAATGCATTTAATCCTTAGAATAATTTCTAAGTAGTTCTTGTGGAATAATAGGAAGGTAGAGTTTAAAATCTCTTGCAAGTTTGAACACTAAGTACCTTATACAAAATTTGAATTTGAAAACTATCCAAAATAATATTTGTGGTATGCTCAGCTTTAATTTCCTGATTCACACACACACACACACACACACACACACACACACACACACACACCCTCCCCCCCTCCCTCCCTCCAATTCTTGGTTAATTTTAAGCATACTTGTTAGAAAGTTAATTTGACAGTTAATCAAAACTTGCTTTTCAAATATATTTAATTTTGCACTGATTTTTTTCAGGAGCTTTGAGTACAGTATTTGATATGGCTTTCCCATTTCAGTTTTATTTATTCTTAGAAATGCCTATGCTTGATCTGTATCTATATATGTCTACCCACACAAATACTAGATGACTGGAAGCACAGCCCCAATTGTGAAATTAGCTTTGGTTGATAATCAGACTACCTAAATTCTCATTACTTCAGGTAAACAGAAATGCCTACTGATTTTTTTTTGTCCCAAATGAACAATTATTGGAACATGAATGGCTAATATAGTACAGTCTTCCTAATTCCAAGAACCACTATTTAAAAATCTATTTTTTCTCTGCACGAACATATGGGAGCAGGATTGATGATACATAATATTACTAAGTTGTTTTTGGCCTGGTTTCTTAGCCTTAGTCAGCAATTTGAAAAGTGAAAGCTTAATATATTTATTTGGAACTGTAAGGAGAATAGTTCCTACCTTAAATAAACATAGTGTGCATTATTTTACAGAATAAATTATATTCTAGACATAATGTTTAATGTTATCATTTCAGCCACTGTCTAGCAAGGGATATTATAGGGGGACATGATCATAGTACTTCCTAAATGAATAGAAATATTGTTGATATATTTGAATTCTTTTAATAGAATGTATTTGTATATATTAAGTAATAACTAGATTTCAAAAACTATACCCACATTTTTTAATAAAAGAGTGATGAACAAGTTACTCCCTAGCTTGAGTATTTTCATCCCTTACTACTTGCTTCCCATGTATCTGCCTGCTTTAATACTCCTCAGGTTTATACTGGAAAAGGAAAGGATTATGCCAATAAGTTGAAATATGTTTATTAGCGTCTCTATACATCTAAAGGGAGTAAAATTAATATTGCTTGTTTGTAGCTACTCATAGTGTCAATGGATATTTTCACATCTATTTCACTCTTGGAATTTTGGACTAAAAATTTTTATTATATTATTCCTGGTTGTTTTTTCATTGGTTGAGTATTAACCAAGTTCAAATCTCCTTAGGTTTTTGAATCAGCTAAGATTGGATAGGTCCTACTGTTTACCTTTTTATTTAAAACGAGCTTTCTAGAAAATCAGAGTTTCCTATCTCTGCCAGATAATGAAAGTCCAATCTGTTTCTGGATGGATATATTCAACAAAATTTCCATTGAGGTATTATATGTCTGATTTTTCACTGAAGTGATAGCCCAGAGTTCTTGCAAATTTTGTTTCACAGGAAATCATGATTTCCTTATAATACTTTTACTTTCTCCCTTTTTCTTTTATGGATTACATTGGCCAATTTTAATTTTGTTAACCTAGTTCATATAGCCTTGGAAATCTTTTGTAAGTTATTGACCTTGAATTTTCCCCCTTTTGTATAAGCTTAATAAAGAAAAAGTAAAAACAATTGTAAACTGGAAAATAAATAATTTTTTTTGCTCTTATTAGAATAACAATGTTTTATTACAGATGTGAGTTAACATGATGTCATTGAAGAGCACATTTTAGACTAAACAGGGAAGCCAAACATCAGATACTGACATAACTTCACACATCAAAGTTTGTGTGAAAATACTTAAACAAAACAGCTTAATATCCTAACAATATTAGCAAATGAATTTAAAATAAGGAATACTAATATACCAGCTCCATGTCATAGGACACATTGCCTGCTTTGCAAGCATTTATTACAATGTTATTTCAATGATCAAATCAAATCTAGGCAGATGTACATTAATGATTTAAGATGAGAATATGAAATAATCCTTGTTATTAATTTTAGCTTAATCTGCGTACATCTAAAATTTAACCTGATTTCCAATTTCCTAGCAGTTTCTGTCTGACACATTACTGGTAGTAATAGTTTAATGTATTTTTATTCTAAAAGGCAGTTCATTGCTTGACCTTTTTTTATAGAGACACGGCCTGATGTTTTGCCCTACAGTTTTGTAGCAATCCAAGACATATGTGCTTAGAATAAAGAGTCCTTTCTTTGGTATTTTCATTGATTATCAGTATTTCAGATATTTGTCAGCAACGTGACACTATTCCTAGTAAGTCCATCTTTTATTTCTTCTGTTTTGCTTAAAAAAAACCTAATCATTTTCTTTCTCTCATTTCAACAGGGACATCTTATGATTGGTGGTAAACAGGTCACACTTGAATATAGTCCATACCCTGAATTTTGGTATTGCAAGCGTGTAAGTATGTAGAAGTACAAGTTTATGGAAAGTTACAGCTGTGAGTTTGAAAGAAGTAAAATAACTTGATGAAAGTATCCTTAACTGACTGGCTGATTCTTCAAGTGGAATCTCACAGCACTAAGATTTCTTGAGGAAGGCACACAGGTTGCCTTTGTGGATAAAATGAATCATAGTCAACTCTGTCTTTCTATCTGAAACCATTGGTGACATGGATTTGTTGGTTCCCTACACTTGCTGCTATATTTTGTCCTCTGAATTTCCATAATGGAAGATCCATTGTATATATGGAAATCTGTTTGTCTATTGTATATTAATTAGCTTAATTTTGTTGTTTCATTTATGGGATTTATCCCAACCTCAGTCTAGAGGGAGTCTTGGCATTGTAACATTAGATACACCTCACTGAATTTTATTCAGTAAAACATTTGAATGTAGATTCTTCCCAAACCAGTATCTTGGAGTCACATGTGTCCCATTGGTAGAAGAAAGGTATGTTCATAAACTAGCTACCTAAATAAAGAATTCTTCTGAATCACAGGTTGCATTTCAGAAGTATTATGCAAGCTGAAAATCTATGTGTCCTCATCCTTTTCCATCGTTTAGGAACATTGATTTGAAGTCAGCATGCTGTTTTCACTTCATTACCTTGCAGAAGTAAACGGGTGACTCACATGCATTGTCTTATAACATGTAGCTTGAGTCTTGGTAAAAGACTAAGCTTCTTTAACTTTCTGCTTCTGTTTTTATAAGTTGAGTTGCATAAAGGGACAAAAGACAAAGGTTGTATGATTTTTCTTTCTTTGCAGTGTAAAGCACGCACAGTAGGGTTTCGTTCAGAAGGGTATAGTTCATCTTGTTTCTTCTGTAAACTACCAAGAGATGGTGAGCCTACTTTTGTTACTGTTTTAACTTTGGTTTAGTACCAAAATAAATGTGTTAATTTGCAATGAATAAAGATCTTTGGTGTACACACCAAAATATCATTGTTAGTATTAGATCAAAACAATAGACTCTGTTTTTAATGTTAATTTTAAATTATATAAACATTCAAGAAATAAAAAAGAATGAATCTTTTCTTATAGCAGAACTACAGCATATGAAAGTGAGTATCTCTCTCACTAGCTCTTGAGATTGGTCTTAGAGCTCTGAGCCATTTCCTCTTCTCCAAATCTGCTCTATGTTACTTCAAATAACCAGTAGCTTCACCAGCCAGTCATGTGCCCAGGATTATTATAGTCTAAATAGAACTTTGCTAATTTGTTTAGTAGCTTATTTAAATTACTTAGTAGAATTCAGAAGACATCAGGCAGAGACAGACTTCATAGCCAAAAACACATGAACAGCAAGTTGCTGTTAATGGACACATCAAAAGATTTCTACGACATCTGAGAGCAAGGGAGACAGCATGGAAATACAACCAATGCTATCCCTTCTGAGAATCTAGTGCCAGTTGCCTGCAGCCTGTACTAGGCTAATTTTTCCTTCTCTCGCTAGGCTAGATGGCCTATCCCCAAAACAGCAGAAGTCAATGCTACTAAATTTCCATTCCCTCACTTCCCTTCCATAGAACTGCAGCACAAGAATGACTCTACTGGCTGTATGAGGCAATATCTCTCCACTGAGGACCTCATGCATTTTCACATCCCAGGAAAGACCTCCAGTGATACCATAGGATAACAGTCAACCATGCCCTTTGGGTTTTGAACCTCATAACGCTGGTTACGTGTCATGGAGAAAAAAAAGCAGGAAATGTAACAAATGTGGGTTCTCCTTTCCAGCTGGACAGTCCATGTTGGAAGAATATGGAGGAAGAATTAAGAAAGACACCCATTCTTGGTTTCTTTACTCCAGAGACTTCCTATTTAGACTACCACTATTGAAAATAAGGATGACAGTGTCATGGCACCAAATGAGGGGAGAAATATCCAGCTCCTTTCCTCTCTGACATACAGCTCAGATACTTCCCTTCAGGACTATTAAATGAGAAAGATGGGGCAGATGTCCCTAGATGAAGAAGAGAAATGACAACCAGTCCTTTAATCCACCAAGCATATCAAAAGAGTCTGTAAGATTCTTGGCCTGAAGAACGGGAGCCGCCACTCCTATAGTCACCTCTATACCTGCCAGCATCATGAGACAGTGTGCAATCCAGAGCATCTTGGAGAGTGACAGAGATCTCAGGACAAACCATACAATCCTCAATTTTAACCAAAAGGGAATGTTTTCCTATAAAAAACAGGCAATCATTATTGGGCAAAAGGCTACAAAAAAGCCCATAGCTGAATGTGTAATGTCAAAATACATGTATTTTAAAGACAATGTGACAGGGTTGTATGTCATGCAAATCAGTCGAACATTGACTAGTACTAAAGGCCAATAACTACCAGTACCTCTTGAGAATCAGTGATCAAACAGGTCCAGAGGTTGTGGTGCCAGAGGTTTACTTTTCCATTGTTCCTAAGAAGAACAAAGGTTTCATGCATTATTCTGAAACCCAAGCGGGAAAACTGTCATATTGAAACACTGAAAATTATCATTGAACTCTCCTATGAAAGGAACACACCTTAATCACCACTTACAGAGGAAGTTCCTGAGATTCAAATTGTAGGATGTCTTCTACCAGTACATGCCCTTTCATTAATTTTGCCATTGACTCCCAGACTATTCATGAAGGTTAATTGGTGATCGTAATCAGCCACAATTTCTTGGGAAATACATGCATACATTTTCTTGAATGGTTCCCTATTTTATGTCCTCGGTTGAGCAGAAAAAAACAAAGATGTCTGGCCCTATTATTTTTTAAGAATCAGTGTTCCTGATTAATGTAGAGAACAGTTTTTAGCTAGTATACATCTTATAATGCTTGGATTCAATTCTGGAGATAGAAAATGACCTGATCTCATCAAACAAAGAATGGCAATCATCTAACAACTTAATTGCATATATTCTTTGAATCAACCATCCATATCTCTTGACCCTTGACAGTCTTCAGAGACAAATGATAACATGTACAAACTCAGTACCTTGAGCAAGGTTCCAGATCAGCAGCGCTAGAGGCAATGAAGTGATCCAATCAAAGAAAATTCTCTCAAGGTAATAGCTTTTGAAATGTTCTCCAAGAAAGGGACATGTTGCTTTCATACCATGTTGAACTTACTACAGCTATGTAAGTGTCAGAAATAGAAGCGCTGTCTGTAGGAAGAAATTTGGCATTACTCAACCATAAACCATGCACAGACCTTTATGTTCAAGCTGAATCTGACTTATATTTTGCGCAGAAACCAAAACTCGCCTAAAAAACAACGTGCAAACTGGATGTCAGGCAAACTGGCAGGATCCATTCAGTTGAACAGGAGAGTTTAAAGCATCAAATTTGAGACCATCCTAGTATATTTTTGTCACTCTCATCTGGGTTGTAGAGCCTCATTTTCCAGATGGATTAACACATGTATCAAACTAGCTACAAGATACAGGATAAACCTCCCTCATAGGGAATTTATCTTATTTATTTTGTGTCCATCTTGTGTCCAATGACTTTGGGCAACATAGAAACATTGTAAAACATTAAAATTATCTGTTGTAAAAAACAGCAGTTTAAAATATTAACATAAAATCATGGACACAAGTTGGCACGTGAATTGAAGCTCCTTCACATCCCAAGGAGACTCCTGGAAGATATCTGTAAGACTGCTAAATTATTCCAAATAGGAATTATTTTCTGCAGCGTTCTCTTGCCAAAAGGGCTGTCCCCCCCCCCCCCAGAAGAGCTCTAAACACTGCCTGAGGAATTAGTGAAAACACTCACTTTCAGGTGCCATGAGTTTGCTGAAGAAAATTGACTTTTATTATAAGTCCATTGTATTGGATTTGTAATAGCTCTTCAATTTGCATGTCTCTTTTTGTTGCTTTTCTTTGTGTATTGGTCTAAGAGTATAGTATTGTGACCACTAGAAAATTTTCAGTGATATTGTAATATTAGGGGAGTACTGCCACATGAATAAAGATGAAAAGTAGGGACCCAGGGAGATAGAGACATTTTTTTCCATATTTCATGGATTAGTACAAGCCTAACATTTTTGTGTTCTCAACTGGAATGTTTATAATACATAACCATCCAAATAAGGTATTTAAATATTCTTGTATAAAGCAGTAAGAAAAAATAGTGTTAACGTAGTGTTTTTGCTGAAATGACTTCATTAAATTTGTTTTCCTAGTAACAGAAGAAAAACTTGAAAAGGGGGAGGAAGAGTTGGTCCCTGAGGATCCGAGCCCAAAGGGAGAATCTGTTGAAGAACCTGCTCCACCCCAAGAGCTGCCGCCTCAGAAGCCGGATTCTGAGCTGCAATGTCCGCCTCAAGAATTTAAACCCAAGAAGAAGGATAAAAACAGAGAAGAGTGGCTCACACAAGAAAAGAAGAAGGACCTTGAAATGTATCCACCCCGAAAAGAAAACCAAAACCGTAGTTCAAGGAGAGATGCTGTGGAAAATAAACGTCAGGAGGATGAGAGTAAAAGTAAGTTGATTGTATTTATGGCCTTACTGTCTTAATTTCTTTCTATAATGATAATTTAAATTTGTGTAAACTGAACAGAAGTACATATATGATTCTTTTTTCTCCTTGCTACACTTTTCACAGCAATTATGTTAAAACGCATTCCTCGCTTCACTCCACCGGAAGTGATTGTAGGACTTCTAGCACCATATGTCCGTCTCTCTACTTCAAGTGTGAGGGTAATGAAGAACAAAGCTGGTCGGATGGGCTACACCTATGGTTTCATTGAACTCGACTCTCATGCTGTATGTTGACATTCTCCTTGCTTCACTTCCCTGCTTCATTCATTAACATTAACATTAATGAAATATTAAGCTGTTATTTCCTTATGAAAGTCTATTCATTATAGTGTCCTGTATGAGTTTATATTTTTAAATTTTATTCCTTACACTTATGTATCCAAAGCTATTAAACAGCTACATTTGTACCTAACAATTAATCATGATTCAGCATTGTAAGATTAAGCCTGTGTAAGCTTCAGGCTTGTACTTTCTTCTTTCCCCCTCCTGAATCACAATATTATACTCAAACTAGTAACTGTAGTTTATTAAAATAAGTTTATTAAATAAAATATTAATAAAATATCTAAAAAAATATATCTAAGCCTGCTTCCTAAACTGCTTAGATGTAATAGTAATTTCCTGAAAAGAAAATATTCAAATTCCTTCTTGTGTTCCTACGAGACAGGAAGGAGTAAAAAAAATGCAAAGAATTATGGCTGAACTGTAACCAATATGTAGGATAGCTTACTCAAATTGACTTAGTGCTATTGCTAACGCTTTGATATGATTGAATATCAATAAAGAAGAAAATGGCTTTGTTTATACACTGCTAATGTCATTATGATTTACTGGAACATATCAACTGACGTAGCGTAGAATACTCTACACATATATATGCCTGATTCAGTACACAACATTACAAGTTTTAAGATGCACTATTAGACTTTTTCTTATCACCATAATATTTTGCTTCCTATCATGGGAAAGAAGTCTGATCTTTGTAACTATATATCCACTACAGCTGTATTGGAGCCTCGTTTGTTGAATTCTTTAAAATGATTTCAATATTAGCTCTGTTATAATTGATTTCAAACATTGTAGTAAGAATCCCAATCATGGAATATTAATTAGACAAGTTCGCATTGTGTAGTATATTATAATTGGAATTTAATATTAATATGTATTTTTTAATTGGTATTACTTCATTCTAGATTAGAGAAAGCATGTAGAAACTAGAGAAAAAACTCTGATCTGCTGTTTTGGTGTCCATATAACTAATGTCATGAAAGCAAAGTAAAATAGGACTTTTATAGTGATTCAGAATCCTGATAGTATAGCCTTTATTGTCATTGTACATCATGTATACAACGAAATTGGTTAAAATGAATCCTGTTTGATTCTGAGCACACACCCCCCCCCTCTTGTAGCCAAGCCAATTGGCAGATATCCTTCCACAAAGCCAAAAGGCTAGGAGCAATTCTCACTTCCAGTGGTAGAGTGTTCCACAGGTTTGGGGCCACAGCAGAAAAAGCTGTTCTTGACCCCACCTGCCGGAATTCCTTAGCAGACAAGGACTATGGCAGTCTTCTTCAGCTGGTGCGAGAGAAGCGGGCTAGTCCCATTGGGGTGAGACGACTCATTTGGACCCATGCCATATAAGACTTTAAAGGTAATAACACCTTGAATTGGACCCAGAAGCAAACTGGCACACATGCACCTAATGTAACAGCAATCTTAAATGTGCCACCCTAGGGCGCCCCCAGAACTCTCTGCGCTGCTGCATTCTGCACCAGCTGTAGTTCCTGAATACTCTTCAAGGGTAGTCCCATGTAGAATGTATTACAATATTCTGACCAACAGATGATTAGGACATGATTGAACGGACGCAAGTCCTCATGATCCTGTTAAGGGCACAACACAAAGTTGTGCAAAGGCCTTCCTAGCCAAGACTGCCACTTGGTTTCTGAGCATAAGTCGCAGGTCCAGGAGAACCCCTAGGTTGTACACCAGGTTTGTCTGGGGTAGTGCAACCCCATCCAGAATTAAAGATGATAAAGAACTGGATTTTGCACCCACAGCCACTCTGTCATGCCAGGCTTCAGCTGAAACATATTGTCCCCATCCAGATCCCTACTTTTTGCTTATTCCTGGATTCTTTTCATTGCAGGAGGCACGCCGGTTAGTGAAAGTTTTACAAGACTTAGATCCACCAATCAGCATTGATGGCCGTGCTGTGGATGTAAACCTAGCTACAGGAAAGAGGAGGTAGTAGGGATGTTGCTAAAATATTCATTAATACGATTTCATTTTGTGAATTTTGTCATTTTGATATGAAAACAAGGAAAGCTTAGGCAATCAAGTTTTCATAAATTAGCATACTTTATGATTTTGCAGAACTGAATGTCCTTATCAAGTGGTGTTATGTTTAAACCATAATATCTCTCTCAAGAAATTAATTATGAGCATACATCACATTTAAGCTATTTTGAAAGTAAATTTAACAAGAATAGAGTAGCTTGAATGAAAAATTAGATATAACTATAATAGTAATATTATTTTGTTCACAGATGTTTCATGTCAAGATATTCTGTGTAGCAAAGTCAAAAAGTTGATCTCAACTTTCTGAGTAATTTATAATACTACAATGATTTCTGCCTTTAGATGATGTAATACATTAATTTAAATTAAAATGGTAAATCAAGACATAACAGATTAATTGTTGAGTTTGTAAAGTCAGGATTTTAAATTTTGTGCACTGAGCTGTAATTCAAAAACAATACTTCACTATACAGTATTTTCATTCAACTTATTAATAGTTCAACAAGTCCAATGAAATTGCAGAGTTTTTGTGAAGAATACTTAACTAACTGCATGTAGTATTTTTGGAACACTTAAACTGATTTGATGATTTCTTTCTGTTGCTAGAAATGAATATGGAGACCAAGGTGATGTTTCTCGTTTCAACCAGGTAATGCTTGTAATCTATGACAGTACTCGAAGAAAATTGGTTGCTGTCATCCAGTATTTAGTTTAGTTTCCTGAACTTAAGAATATTAAGTTTAGTTTCCTAAACTTAAGTATATTTTTATATTTATGACAGTGAGTGTAACCAGAAAAAATGTGCTAGATTCATTAACTTCACAGTTGATTCCCCCTCAAACACAGAATAATTAAAGTGTTATACCCAATGGCCAACATATGTACATGTGTTTAAATTATAAAAATAAAAGTATATAGGTAGAAATAATATTTTTCAAAATTTAAGATTAATTGCTATATCCTAAGTTCTAATAAGATTCCGAGGTTAACAGTGATAATTCTAGGATAGTTGTATCATTACCATGATATGCCATTACAATACACTATGATCTATGATTTCAAGTTTCCATTCTTTTTGCTGTCCTTATAAAGGAGCAGGAATTTCTTGCTTTTTGCAAATATGAGAAAACTAGACATTTCTACAAATGACAATCAGGCATTCTGTGAAGGAGCTCATTGTTCTCAATAAGGGTGGAGATAGCATCCATGCGTGGGTTGACACTGTCCGTGCTCTGATTGGACTGAGTCTGATTACTAATTAATTAACCACTATAAAACCCGCCTCCATGAGTGGTACCACCCAGTTTTCTGACTCAGTCCACTCAGGGACAGTCGTGTTATCCTTCGTATCTTCTACCTGATTTGATCACTATTCTCATAATTTCAGCTATATTGACTCATAACATTGAGATTGCTGTGAGTATTTCCCTGCTCCTACCACTGGGCCTTCCGACCCTTGAGCCAAAGGGCTGCTGCCCGCAGGCCTCACGCCTCCCCCCTGCACACCTCAGAGAGCTCTCGACTCACCTGAGATTTTTAAAAAAGGTGCGCTGGAGTGGCAGAGAAAGGTGGACAGCGCAGACTATCGGCCTTTTGATCCTTTGAGTACTTGACAGCCGGAAAAGAAGCGGGAGAGCCTGGAACGCAACACAGCATCTGGGTGGCATACAAATTGCTGGATCAACCCCGGAGATACGCACGAGACCACTTCCGCATTTAAAGTGGCAGCGCGACAAAGGCAGGTGCCGCGGAGATTGCGGGGAGGCTTGGCAAGCCGAGAATTGCAGGGATGAGCGTGCAGGCCTCTCAAGGGCTTAGTGCCACGTTGGAGGGCCTGGGCCCAACCCAAAAAAGGTGCGAATGCCATTTTGGAAGAGGGCGGAGCTGGGTGCTAACGGATGGCCGCAGGTGCCATTTTGAGCCATATTGCCTCGCCCTGGTGATATGGCCGACAGCAGCATGCCTGAATCATCCTCCAGCGCTGGCAGGGAGGTAGCGGAGACAGCTTGGACTCCTGACTGTGGCAGGGACTCCTCTTCCCCCCCACTGGGCCAGCTTTATCACAGGCTAAACCCTCCCTCAAAGGCTCCTCCTCTGACAGCAAAAGCTCAAAAGCCAAAAAGGCATCTAAGGTCTCTTCCAAAATTAAGCACTTGGATTCATCGGGTTCCTCCTGACAAGGAGCCACGGGCACTGACACAGCCAAGCCCATTGCCCCCACTGCAATTTGATTTAGCCCGATGTTACCAATTAACACATTGGGGCTTTGGGGCACCTCTGGATCTCATTGCCAAAGCAGGAATGCGGAGGCTACCTTCACCCCAACTGCTGCTGGGCTCCGTCCGGGGGAGCCCTCCATGCCCCTCTATATGCCCTTACAACCATGCATACCATGCTTCCTACTTGTCAGGACATTATAGCGGAGGCTATAAAACAGGGGATTGCAGTTGGCTTAAAGGAAAAGGTTTTGGGCTCTCAAACTGCGGCCCCTCGGAGTGCAACCCATGCAGGGGGGCTCCCAGTGCTTACAGACTCTTCTCAGCCACCTGAACCCAACCACTGCCCCTCCCCCGCATCGGAAGAGTGTGAGATCAGGGATGTCGACCTGTTGGACGAGGAGGGGCCCATTACCGATAAATCCTCCTACACGGGCCTATTTCCGTCTAACCAATTCACACCTTCGCTTTGCAAGGCCAAGGCGGCCTCGGAGCTGGGGGCCCAAGCAGTGAAGGAACCCACATCTCAGCCCCAGTCAACCAGTGTTAGGATCACCGAGCACAAGATGGAAACCGACACCATTTCAGCCCCACAACTGTTTGTCGACACTGTTCAACATCAGTGGTCCACACCTACGTCGGGACCGGCCCCGTCGACCAACAACAAACGCTTCTATAATGTTGCAGATGACCGCAATAACGTCGGCGTTATTGCCGACGATTCACCCGCCCACCGCGGCCCTATACACCAACACTACAATGCCGGGGGCGCAGGAGGACATCCTCAAACCGGAGGATAGATGGGCTGACCAGGTCATCTAGCGGGGCCACCAGGCAGCCGCCTGTGCGGTGCGGGCCTAAACAGCGGCGTCCTTCTCCTGTTCCAGCCTTAGCTGGCTACAACAGTTACAAGGGTGGATTCCGGTCGGGGATTCAAGGGCCCAACAAGACTTGAATAAAATTATAGCTGCTGTATAATTCACCGTGGACACTACTTTGAGTGCCACCCGGTTCGCCTCCAGAGCAATGGCTTCATCGGTGGCGTCACACAGACTTTTGTGACTGCAACAGTGCCAGACGGAGGTCAAACATAATGGCGCTTGGCTTTTGAGTCATACACGGGGGCACGCTCTCTGGAGATTCACTCACTCCCCTGTTGATTGAGGGTAAGGATAAATGTAAAATCTTCCCCTTCAATCCCAAGAAAGGGCTCGTGTGCCCGGCCCCTTACTCTAGAAGGCAACCCTTTTGTAATCAAGAGTATGGGGGTCCCAACCGACAGCAGGAGTACTCTCCCTCAGGGTATCGCCCACAGGGGGTGGTTCTTTCAGAGGTCTTGACAACAACAGTATCGGCAGGAGAGGGGTAACCAGTCTAAATTTTCCCCTTAGTGCGTGGCAAAACGTGTCTCACCAGTTCAGTCTACCATTCCTCAGGTTCTGGAATTTCTACAGAACAGTTTGGAAAAGGGGCTGTCTCCCAACACTCTTAGGAGACAGGTGGCTGCCCTTAGTAGTATATTTACCTGGGGTGGGGGTCAGTCATTAGCACATCATCCCAACGTAAGATTTTTTTTGGAGGGGGCGGTTAGTCTCAAGCCCCCAGCAGTGCATAGATACCTGTCCTGGGGTCTGGCCAAGGTCCTGGAGGCCCTGATTGATCCGCTGTTTGAGCCATTTCGGGAAGTGCCCTTACAAATGCTTACCTGGAAAGTAGCCTTCCTGGTGACTGTGACGTCTGCGAGACGTATATCTGAGCTACATGCCTTGTCTGTGCGAGAGGACTTCTGCAGGTTCCATGAGGATAGGGTGGTCCTCAGACTGGACCTTTCCTTTATACCAAAGGTGGGGTCCTGGTTTCACCGCACGCAGGAAGTGGTGCTACCAAATTTTTGCCCCTCTCCCAGTCATGATTTGGAACGTCACTGGCACAAGTGTACTGGGCGCTAAGACTTTACATTGATCACACGGCGAATCACAGGCGTTCCGAGGCCATTTTTATCTCATTACAATCATCTTCCCTGGGGTAGATGGTCTCAATAGCGACCATTGGATGGTGGGTCAGGCGTTGCATTGCAGCAGCGTATGACACGCACCGGGAACCGAGACCGGCAGGGGTGACAGCCCACTCTATGAGGAGTGCTGCCATGACAATGGCATGGGCGATGCAGGCTTCTCTGGAAGAGATTTGCAGGGCGGCTACGTGGGCCTCCTCGTCTCCCTTCGTTCACAATTACAAACTTGACAAGTTCGCTTCAGCCGATGCTGCCTTTGGAAGGAGAGTGCTGCAGGCTGTTCGGTCAGTTGTGTCAATCCTGGAACAGTCTATTGCCCACCCTTGAGGATTGTACAGGTTGGGTATGTCCCATGCATGGATGCTATCTCCACCCTTAGTGAGAAAGGGCATTGGTATCTTACCTGATACGCCTCTTCTAATAAGGTGGAGATAGCATCCAGCCCCGACCCTTCTTTTGACTGTTCTTTGTATTGCCGGGACTGTTTTTCTTGTTCTACCTTCAGATGTTTGTGTTGACCCTTTGATGTTGGCTTTTTTCTTGTAATAACTAAAATTGAATTTTGTTGGGATAACACGAGGAGTCTGTCTTTTTTTGTCTTCGCTGGAAAACTAGGTGGTATCACTCATGGAGGCGGGTTATATAGCGGTTAATTAATTAGTAATCAGACTCAGTCCAATCAGAGCATGGACAGTGTCAACCCATGCATGGATGCTATCTCCACCTTATTAGAAGAGGTGTGTCAGGTAAGATACCAACACCCTATTTCAACAGATGTATTTTTCTGCATCTTAGCTTGATAATAATATTTTATTAGGTCTTACCGCTTGGTATGTGCAAATGTGTGTTTTATAATTCTTATTTTAAAATCCTATTTGTATTTCAGGGCAAACGAGGCATGACTGACAGAAGGGGCTCTGATACACAGAAACGAAAATCAGAGTGTAGGTTGTCTTTTAATCCGATTGTACTATAAAATATTTTTCTTATTTATTTCTTAATCAATAGCAATAGCAATAGCAATAGCAGTAGACTTATATACTGCTTCATAGGCCTTTCAGGCCTCTCTAAGCGGTTTTACAGAGAGTCAGCATATTGCCCCCAACAATCTGGGTCCTCATTTTACCCACCTCGGAAGGATGGAAGGCTGAGTCAACCCTGAGCCGGTGAGA